TATGGCTAACCCCGCTGCTCTTCTTCTTTTTTTCTCTTTTTTATTCTTTTTTCATGCAGCACAGCACTCAAAGGCGAAGCTCAATATACCAGATGAGCCAGCAATAACGCCTACTCTTCAGATACAGCAGAGGGTTATAATAGGTGATGCTGCTGCAGCAAACAGCCAACAGCAGCAGCAGCAGCAGCAGCAGCAGCGATGTGAGCAACAGCAGGCGGTAGAGCAGCAGCAGAATGAGAATCAGGTGGATGAGCTGCGGCACGAACAGCAAGAAGAAGAGGACCAGCAGCAGCCACAGCAGCAGCAAGAAGAGGAGCAGCAGCAGCAGCAGCAAGAAGAGGAGCAGCAGCAGCAGCAAGAAGAGGAGCAGCAGCAGCAGCAGCGGCTGCAGCAAGAAACGTATGTACACTGGGAAGCGGGTGTAACTAAGGAGAAAATTTAAAAGGCAGCGGAGATGAGTTGATTGAACAGCAAAGCGAAGCAGAGCAGCAAAATATGCAGCAACAAACTCAAAAATAACAAAGATAAAAACACAAGACAAAAACAGAGAGAAGAAATAAAAACAAAAAAGGGTTGAGATGGTAGAGATGTTCAAGAAGAAGAAATAGACAAACAAAAGCAGCAGCAGCAGCAGCAGCTGCAGCTGCAGCAGCAGCAGCAGCAGCAGCACACAGACTCAAAAAGAAGAAGCAGCAAACAATTAAGAGAAGAGAGAGTGCAGAAAGAATTAACAAAAAACAAAAAGTAAAATATAAAGAGAAGCAAAATAAGACAAGCTGCAGCAAGCAAACAGCGAAACAAGAGACGGCTGCTGAATACAACAAGAAGCAGCAGCAGACAAACAGAAAATGAAGTTGCAGCTGCAGCATCAGTACTTGCAGATGCAGCAGCTGCAGCAGCTGCAGCAGCTGTTGCAGATGCATCAGCACTAGTTGCAGCTGCAGCAGCTGCAGCAGCTGCAGCAGCTGCAGCAGCAGTTGCAGATGCGCCAGCAGCAGCAGCAGCATGAGTTGCAGATGCAGCAGCAGCAGGAGCAGTTGCATCAGAATCAGCATCAGCAGCAGCAGGAGCAGTTGCAGATGCAACAGCAGCAGCAGCAGCAGCTGCTGCTGCTGCTGCTGCTGGAGTCTTGTAGTGTATGACGAAGCCGGGCAATTTGTTTATTTGATTTTTTCAGTTTTATTATTTATAACAAGCGAAGAAGAAATCTTTGTTTGTTTTTTATAAATAAATATAAAAGCTGCATGTACACCTCAAAGGGAGGCTCAGTTGTATAGCGGATATATTTTGTTGTTTTGTTTATCTTTTGCATTTGAAGACAAAACTTTTAAAAGAAAATTATTGTTAATCATATTAATCATTTATTATTATTGCTGTATATATTATGCTACAGACTATTATTATTATTGTTATTATTCTTAGTATTATTATTATTATTAGCAGTAGTAGTAGTACTATTAGTTTTAATATTATTATTATTATTAATATTGCTATTGTTATTATTGTTATTGTCAGCCGTATTATTATTATTCTTATTTTATTATTATTATTATTTTTAGTGCTATTATTATTATTATTATTTGTTTTATTATCATTATTATTAATTATTAATTACTATATATATATATATATTAGCTGCAGCTGCCGAATATTTTGTGTTAGACATCGAAGCGTTTGTTTGTTTCATTTGTTTATTATTTTTTATTATTTTATTTTTTATTATTTTATTTTATTTTATTGTATTTATTATTATTTACTTTTGTTTTGTTTGTGTCTGCTGATACTGTTTGTTTTTTTATTATCTTTTTATTTTCTTTTTATTTTGCAGTTATTTGTCTCTCTGTTCATTTTAATTATTTTAATTTTTAAAATAAAGCAGATTTATTTGTTTACTTCTTCTTTTGTTTGTGTCGCTGTGGTATTTGTTTGTTTGTTTGTTTGTTTGTTTATTTGTTTATTTGTTTCTTTATTTACCTAATTTATTTACTATTTGTCTATTTATTTATTTATTTATTTATTTATTTATTTTTCTGTCTAACCGCTGATTGTGAATTCGTCGCACTTCGAGTTGCGACTCCCCGCACTTTGTAAATATGTAATATCATTTATTATATCATATATACAGCAAATATATATATATATATATACATATATATATATATTTATATATATATATATATATACATGTACATATATATATATATATATATATTATACATGCATAACTAGATTAATATATATATATATACTATATACAGCATAAATAGAAGGCACAGCTGTTAGCTCTGCGTGTTGCGCTTAGAGTTGAGTGGCCTTCAAATGCTGCAGCAGAAGTCAAAGAGAATAAAAATACATTTTTAGAAATCAAAAGCTGCGTTATACTAAAGAGAAAATGTTTATACTTTTCTTTATCTTTTTGTGTTTTAAATGCGTACACTTGCATTTATTTGTTTATTGTTTTTGCTTCAAATACATATATATAATATACATATATATATAT